AATATGTCTTAAGTAACTTTGTTTTTCATATCAAAAAACATATATTTGAAAAATTTTACAAAATTCTATTCATTCTTATTATATAATATATATATAAATTTAAAAATTCTGAATATTTATGATAATCACTATATATCATAATTCAAATAAAAATAATAGAAATATAGAAACTATTAGTTAGAGATTTGGATTCCAGATCTAGTAGTAATTATTTTATTGTATTTGTCTTTGATTTCTTTTTTCAAATTATATATAAATTTTTGTTAATTAATTCTGGATCTATATTTTTATCTATTAATATTTAAAATATATATTTATTATATCATAAATATTTATAGCAAGTATTAGTGATATTAGATGTAAAATTAATGATTGATCTTATAATACTTTAAAGAAAACTGTTTTGTTATTTACATTCAAACATATATCAATCTTGATTAAATTTTCATTCATATTTTTGGATATATCTTTTAACTCAGATACTATAGATTTCAATTTAATAATATTATATTTAATAGAATCAACTTTAATTAATAAGTTATTAAAGTTTTATTATATTTTTATATAATAAATCACTATAAAAGCATAACTGTTTCAAAGTTTTTAATTTCTTGCTTAATTATCTCAATATTATTAATTTTAATATTGATAAAAGTGATTCTATCTCAATATTTTTGATTTGTTTAACAAGTATATCAAGTTAATTTTTAACTTGAATAACTATTTGAAAGATTATGATTATTTAAAAAAATTACATGTTATTATTTATATAGTAATAAATATCATGTGAATAAACAATTAGCTAGATTATTATAATATAAGTATTTATATTAGTTAACACAAGACAAGAATGTATTAACACAAGAAAGAATATAGTAATTAAATTCTTGTAATATACAAATTTTGTTTAGCCTTAATAAAAAAATATAGTATATTAATAAAAAAACTGTTCAATTAATCTACTAATTGATTTTTTAAGAGTATTATAGGAATAAAATTTTTGTTATCAATATTAACTGAATTATCTTTAACAAATTGACAAACAATTTATTAAATTATTAATATATAATCTTGATCTTTTATCTGAAAATAATTTTCTCATAATTTACAAAAAAACTTTGATTATTATTATAATTACTAATCTGATTTATTTGATTATTATATTCTCAATTTCTTTAATAAAAATATGATCAATAATCTTTATTCAATTCATACTAATTTACAAATGCAAAATAATATTCTATAGAAGTAAATTCATCAGTATTATGCAAATTGATTGTGTGTTTGAAAAAAAAACTAAATAACTCTAGAATAATTGATTATATAATTGTCATTATTTCAAATCAATACTTTAATACACAATATATCATGCAATGGTTATACTCGTTGATATATTACTGCCGATTAATCATTATAAATAATGTATTGTTTTTAAAAATAATAATTCTAGTAGTAATTGTGTTTCGAGAATTTCTAATTCTAAATATTCAAAAAGATACTCTACATAATAGAAAATGTCTGGCGTAAGCAACCAATTTTTATTTTAACTGATAAACTTTCTACGTTATTTTAATGAAACCAAATTATTATTTTATTTATAGTCAAAATCAACTAAAGTTTCTACCAAAGCTTCGAAAACTAAGGTCAAAAGCGACAGTTCAAAAAAGCATCCAACCGCTTACAACAAATTCATGCAGATTGAAATTCCAAAAGTGAAGACTGAGAATCCTACTATCCAACATAAAGATGCATTTAAACTTGCAGCCGGTCGTTGGAAAGATAGTCCTGAGAATCCAAAAAATGCACAATAATGTATTTTTCAGATTAATTTTATGTAGTATATTTATTGATTTGCTAAGTGAATGAACAGTACTCATTCCGATTGAATAATTTATTTATAGGTTTCATTAATTTATGTGTAAATATAAGAACATCATACTTGCTAAAGAAAATATTAATAAAATAATAATAATTGGTTTTAATCTAATTGAAAATAATTTGCATGCTGTATATTTTCTGAAAATTCAATGAATTTAAAACATTTGATCAGAGATATAATAAATTTTCGTGAGTTATCTTTTGATTCTGTAGCACTAAAACTTTGAATACACATTCGGTGCATTATATTTTTAGCGGGATGTACACATAATATAGTAAATTAAACAAATATTTAAATACAATTTATATTATTGCATTTCAGAATTTCGAATTAGTCGAATGCTGCTTGCTCAAATAAATATAAACCGTCCTCACAGAAAATAATTCAGAAATAAAAATCAATTCTAATATCTTTATATCCATCAAGAAACTATTTAAAAAAATCATGTTATTTGCATGATGAATTCAGAAGTCAAAAATTAATATGTGATATTTCAGGTGCTGAAAATTTAGCTGTTACTATTTAAAATTGAGGTTAAAAATATTTAACTACAAATAATTTTTATAGAATAATGAATAAAAAATGTAATGCTATCGAATATCTATTTGATAACGTGTTTTTTTAATAATTTTGAATTCCTTTACTAAATAAAGATTTGGAAATTCTTAGCAGTTGCACCATTATTTCTTACAAAAATCTTTAGGTTCTAAAAAACATTAATTGTGTACTCTAATTTTGAATTTATATTCATGTTATTTATTCTGGAACCTGAACAATAAAATAGATTAGTAGATTAATGATTTAACCATATTAAATTAACAAGTGAAGTATCGGAATCATGTAGTCGAAAATCGAAGTATCTGATTTGTATTATCATGTATATTGATTTGTATTTTTTTAGCTGTAATAAAATTTTTACGTACTTGTATATAGTTGAATTGTATTTCAACTAAAAAAATTTCGTTTATAAAGAATTGATTAACTAAACAGTACATAAATAGACAGTAACAAATGACACACTTTTGTTGTACTTTAAAAATACCATCTATTAAGTAATTACCACTGATCCAGAAAATATATGGAATACCAGTACAATATATTATAGCATAAAAATGCCACGTTACTAATAAATACAATAATTCTATGAAGATCACTAAAGCGAGTACTCTAAAATTAATAATTTTATTAAGAATAAGAATTTAGGGGAGGAAGATATCTTAATTAGGCATATTTCCTTTTCCACAAAAAACTCCTTTTCATTAAAGCTCATCCAATAAATTTTCCAATAATTATCAATAAGTCATCCTTTCTCTCAATAAATTTTGTCATAAAATGGAATAAAAATGTATACATAGAGCAATAAAATAAAGTATGCTTTAAAGCTCTAATTCGTAGAACTGATTAATTTCAATCCAACAAAACCGTTTATCACGTGAAATTGATTGGGGATTATTCCTTGGTCCAGAAAAGTCATATGTTATTTGATTGATTTAATTAAAGATTGTTAGAACTTAAAGCTTTTAGCTATAAAAAGCATTATTTTGTAAAGAAATCCATTAATAAGTAATAGTCAAATTAAGGCTTGTGATAGTCATAATTACCCCCATCCTGCTAAATTGTTCTCTTCAAACCCATGGTTGTCACAACAACGGTATCCATCTGTATCGGTACAGTATTAAAAATCGTTAATTTTCCCTAATTTCCCCCAAAACGCCTTGTTACAGAAACATTCTGCACGAAATCCGTAAAAAATCCTTCAATACCAATCAATGTCTGTATTTCATCCACGATGTCCGATTCTCATTGCCTCGACCTGCTTAACGCGGTGCTCACATCTGTAATGGGATAGTCAAAATTTGTTTCAAAAAGAGAAATTCGCGAAAATGCAAAACTGTGGTATGCCGATTTCATACCAAACGAGCAAACTAGACAAACCACAAAATGAAAGTCAAAACTAGAGAAACTACACGAAATGGGAGGCAGCATTTCGTCAAGTCGTTTACTATCACTTTAGAAATCGTAAGAAATGATACCATTGATAAATTAAAACAGAAGATTTAGGACAAGGAAGGTATTCCTCCGGATCAACATTGGAAAACGGAAGAACACTCTTAGAATACAATATTCAAAATGAATCTATACTACTACTTGTTTTGCGTCTTCGTGGTGGTGGTGCGCATTCAATCATATGGATTCTTCTTATTGGATCCACAGTTTGATTACGATTTACAAATATTGAGATGAGAATCAATAATCATAACGCGAGATTAATTAGTGAGAAGGTTATTTATCGAATTAAGGAATGCGTTTTATGATCATGGTATTTATTCGACACCTGATGTGAACGTAGCTAAAGACTATGTGCCGGAATTAAGTTGAGTAAATTATTTCAGAACTGAGTAAATCCAGTGAATTTGGTAAAAATTGAAGAGCATAAGTATTAGGTTTCCAAGGGAACGCAAAGATGCCAAACCATATGGATGTATCAATAATGCCTTATAAACACGGTCCCATAAAATCAAAATATATAAATTATAGCATTTCGAATATTATCAATAATATTGGATTTACACAAATTCCCAAAATATTATCTGAAATTTTTAAATGAAACTGTAACTTTTGGAATCCAATATCACAAAATCCAGTCATTTAAATGAAGATATTTCATTAGATTTAGTTTCACTTAAAATTACGAATTTTTTATAGATCCAAATTACTCTTATTTATTAAATTCATATTGATTAAAAAAAGAATGATAAAAGTAATAAAGAAGCAGATAAATATTTCTGGACTTTATTTCTTGTATCATAATACGCTAATTTTTAAATGCTGTTACTCCCAATTCTAAAGTTAGGTTGACTAAAGAATTGAGTTGTAATAAAAGACGGGGGCTAGATTTCGTGGGTCAAAAGTACCAAGCATGAATTTTTACAAAAAATAGCATGGCACTTCAAGATAAAAAAATTAATAAAATTTAAAAATGAGATAAAGTAATAAAATTATTCTGTACGATACAAATGTTGAAATTTGTAAGAAAAATGGAATCATTTCAAAGAATAACGTACGATACGAACTTTGCATGAAATTCTAATAAGAATCAAAATCTTGGGATCGCAAAGAATTTTTGTAAGAAATTATTATTGGGGAAGGCAGTGTCAATATTGTTATTAAAAAGTAAGAGTTTTTCGTAAGAATTTGCGAATGTTGATGCTATAAGAATTTTTTATGCGTTTCGCTCAGATGGTACGGCACAACATGAATAATTAATTCATTACTAATTAACTTTAAGTAATCACGTGATTTTTTTTGTGACTACACCTGTATTTTTATAAGCGCGAAATCAAATCGATAAAATTATTCAATAGATTAAAGAACAAGCTAAGGAAAAAAATTATTTATTTGAATTTGATCTATTATTACGCGGCAGTCGAAATAGATTTACAGCTAGCGATTTTTACTGTTTATGTGATGATAAAGGACCGACCATTTTTGCTATATGTATCCAAGGTTCTAACAAAACTATCGGTGGATACAATCCTATTGAATGGAAATCTCTTGACAAAGTATACATTAATGAAGTAAGGGGCAGCTTTTTATATAAATTTAATTCTGATGACATTATGAGATCCAATGGAGTTTTAACAATCTCGTGCTAGTATAAGTGACTATTCATGTCAAGGTCCTAGGTGATTTAGCTTTGTTTACTTCTGCAAATAATTATTGCAACAAATATTATTATGAGTTTGGCCTTTTAAGTGGGTCATATGAGCAGGTAAAATCTTTTGAAATTATGATGTTTTTCAAATTGTAAAAAAATGAAATAGAATTTCAGTTTAATTTTAAAATATCTTATACTGTAAACATATACATTTTCATTTCATATATTTTCTCACATTATACAAATTTGTTAGTTGAATAAAATCGATTCAAAGTTATTGAGAAAATTTACAAGCGGCAGTAATGCATGACGCTATAAAGTTGTTACTTGGATTTCGAAAATATATTAATTTGTAATGCCCTATTGTTAAGACATGGATTTTATCTTATAAATATGTGTATTTTTACCGATAATACATAAGGCTGAAATCCCGAAAGCATATCATCCCAAATACATGGAATGTCAAAATCACGATATCGTGCGTTCGGAATGAATTTATTTGAGACTTCAGGCTTTCACCAATTAATTTTATTTACTAGTATTTGTCTGCTCTCTAGTTCTATAAATTTAATTCATGTAACTGCATCATATTGTATAATCATTTGATATCTTAAAACCAGGAGATTTTATTAAAGACATTATTGTCAATAACAAGTTGATGACGCTCCTTCATTGACCTAATTAAATTGATTATAATATTTTCTCCACATTTCTTATCATAAATATCCCTGATTTCTTGGTTGTCATTTTTCCGCACTTCTCTTAACAATGGCCCACAGTTTTCTATAGGTTTAGATTGGGAGTGTTGGAGAGCCAACCAATTACAGTGCAGACATTTGCTTGAAGGAATTCTTTGGTTATGCGACTAGCTTATTTAGGATCATTGTCCTGTTGAATCGCTAACTTTTTCAAGATCTTATTAGTCTCAGAAAAATAGTTTCTTAAAATGTCAACCAAATACCATAAAATTGTCATAAGAAAATTTTATGTCCTTAATAAGAATTTTATTAGCCAATGATCTTAACGATATTGCTGGATCATTCAAATAAATTGTCCAAGAGCTTTGAATCTTTAACACGATCTTTTTGGGACGACCAGAGCGTCTTTTGTGTACTATATTTCCAGTTTTCTTCAGCTTTTCAATTATAATAAATAATTGATCTTGGAATATCTGTTTTACGTTGAATTTCGGCGGTATTTCTGATTCTCTTTTTCCATAAATGTTAAATGGATTGCGCCTGCGTAGTTTGGTTATTGAACTTCATTTCATTCACCTGTAATAAAAAAAGTGTAAATGAAAGTTAGTACATGTAATAAATAAGGTAAACAATAATCGGAATAATAAAGTAATGTATTTTATTTAACCCAATTTGGATTTAAATAGGCTGTGTACAAATACTTTGTGACGACAACGTCTCGTTTCTTCCATCATTTCAAACAATTTACATTTTTATACAGTGAACTCAAAGATGGAATCGCATACTCATCATTGTAATGAATGTGATGATTGTCAAAGAATAGATACTGCGATGAGTGTTTAATTCACAATACTCATGATTGTAGTAAATATACTCGTTGTCAAAAAATTAATGACTGTATCAAACATCACAAACGAATTTATAACGATGAATTGTTTAGCGGTGATAAAAAGAATGAAACGTTAATAATAAACTTAAATTTTCGAATGGATTCCTTTCGAAAAATTTATCAATGTTAAATATTATGCAAAAGAAACTTTTGGTTCAATTAAGCGATTGGGAGAATTCAAAATTGTGTTGAAATTATTACACAATTCAAAGCAACGGGAGTTTACAAATGAGGTAAAAATACCATTTCTAAGTGAAAATTGCTTTATATTTCTAATAAAATCAAATTTCTCAAATATAGATTCACAAATGCAGCAATACCTATATTAGTTACATGTATTAATATTCGATAATGCAAAGATGACGATATCGATATACAGTGCCCGCAAAAATAACGCACCACCACTTAATTACACACAATGATTCACATCTAATCCATGTCGATCCGCCAAAGTCATGGTGCGTTTTTTTTGCCATTTTATCAAAAATATAAAGAATACAGTGGTCCGCAAAAATAACGCATCACTTACATTTGCTAATCATTAATTAAAATTACATGTACATGATTCTCACTCACATGAAATCCATTGAACGCAAAATCTATAATAATTAAGTCTTAACGTTAACATATAATATTGTTTTTAAATTATAATAGATAATGTAAATCTATTTTTTTTTAAATTTTTATAAAATACAGTATATATATATAATAAATTACTAATAAAATATAATTTTATTTTTATTAATTAAAATTAATAATACATTTTTATATATAAACTATATTCAAAAATTAAAATATTTTTATTAGTAATTTATTATATATTTATTTTTTATAAAAAATTTAAAAAATATAGATTTACATTCTCTTTATAATTTATGAATCAATATCCTAATTTTTATCATAAAAATTATATGTTAAGACTTAATTATTATAGATTTGGATTTTCATGTGAATGAGAATCATGTAATTAATGATTAGCAACAATGTAAGTGGTGCGTTATTTTTGCGAACCACTGTATTCTTTATATTTTTTGGATAAAATGGCAAAAAAAACGCACCGGGACTTTGGCGGATCGACATAGATTATTAGCACAAGTATTAAATGTTAATTGAGAATCATGTAATTAATGATTAGAAAGTGGTGGTGCGTTATTTTTGCGGGCACTGTATATCGATATTTATGGAGATCATCTTTTGCATAATCCATGCAACTGGATTTTTAGTCACATGTATTCTATAATACATGTAAACCAATATTATTAGTACATGTATTGCTGCATTTATGAATCTTACACGTATTTGAAAAATTTGATTTTATTAGAAATATAAAGCAATTTTCACTTAGAAAATGGTATTTTTACCTCATTTGTAAACTCTCGAATAATCTTCTTTGAATTGTGAATAATTTACATTCATTAGAATTATGAGTATTTGATCCCATCTTTAAGTTCACTTTATGAATGGTCAAATGATAGAAAACAAATGAGGGATAATAATTACCAGGTTTCCCCATATTCACTTATTCTGAGTTAATGATTAGAATTATTGATTATCGATAGAGCATATTTCTAAATAAAGTTCTCTGTGTTTACACGCGCTAATATCATGTTATCATTATTGTTAGGATCAAGAATTGCAACTTTTGATAATAAAACAAAAAACGCGGGGCTTGTGAATCGTTTCCGACGACATTATCAATACCTCCGGGAAATGAAGACTAATATAAGCAAGAAATCATCAATTTATATAATCATGCAAAAAATTTTATAATAAGACGAAACAACTAGATCCCTCTAGATTTATTCAAGAGAAGAATTCAACGAAACAATCAAACGAACAAGCAATTCGCAACGACTACGATTTAGTTTTTACGATGCTTCTAACATGCTTAACTTTAATCAAAAAAGAAGCGGTGATGATAAATAAACACCTTATTGAATGTGGCTGTTTATGTTGCGATTTCGAAGAATCAAACGATGGTAAGTTGAATTTATTATGAATAAATTTTAATTATTGTATTTATCTAATTTCTATCAATTAATATTCCTTTTCTTTAATTTGATGCATTCATGATAGTAAAATGAAAAACTAAAAAAAGTTTAATCGTGCGGATAATCCACTTCGTATGAATAAAGACAACTTTCGTGACATTATTAATGCTCACGAAAAGGAACGTATAAAAAATCCAAAAAAATCTTTTTTTACTAATATAGATTTTTCTTTTTGAATTCAAGAGCATAATTATTTAAACTTTGAGAGTAATACATAAGCACCAGCATCATCAATTATATTTACTTTTAATATTTTTGGATCATTTTTTAATCAAATTATTTTATGCATTTTATCACAAGAAACCATTATCGGTAGCATTTGTATTGTCTATTTAGTTTTGTGAGAATGCATGCGATAAATCTTAAATCTATTCTAACAATAACTAATCATGCGATGACACAATAGTTTTTTTGAATTCACACGTGTCTTTTTATCAATTGAACGGAACTTTTCCATCTTTTTTGAACAACCGAAATATTATAAATAACGGATCATTAATAACCAATTTTGATTCTCATAATATTTTTATATCCATTTATCTAAAGAGTCCCAATATTTTCTGAAGATTCGTTGGTTAATGCTTTTTTATTCCTTCAAATAAAAGGCAATGAAAATGCCAGATATTTGATTTATGCACGGATTATTACTATTCTTTCGAGCGCACTTCATAAAATCATTCTTATTAAGTACATTCTTTTATTAGTTAACTTTCTCTATCAAAGAATTGTTAAAACCGTGGACGATTTGTGAGTGAAGACTTCAATTGTAAGACGAGTTCCAAACTATTGAAATATCTTTAGTTTTACCATCCTCCCCACCACCAAAAACTTGTTTGAAATAACTGGGAAAACGATTTGAGTTTGGAATAATTTATAAGAAAATAATGCAAATATGCCAAAAATTCAATCATTATGCTTGCCCCTTACAAATGACATCTCCAAAAGTCAATATTTCACCGAATTAGAAGGTTACGTAAGTATAAAATGACAAGAAGTTGACTAGCTTTAAAATAACTTATTAAGAGATTAACCAGAAAAGTAATTTTATCAGATGTCGCCTGAACTGTTTAAGACTCGGATTCAAAGAATCAACGAAATCATAACACAAACGCGTGCTCCGCGTATATTTTCTTTTACGCCATTCTTATTATTGGTGACAATTATTAGCAGTCCGATAATTGTCTCAGTGATCATGTCTGTATTAAGATCTAGTTCTCAAGGGAACGATTCAAATTCGTCGTCACCTTCAAAATTATTTTCAGCTTATTTGTATGCATTCTCGGCAATTTTTGCATGTTATATCGTGGGATTTTTTCTCTTTATAAAGAGATTCGAAGTAAAGGTATACTGACTTTATAATAAATGCACATAAAGGTGAATTCGGATTTATGAGCTATTGATAAATATTAATTAATTTAAACACATAGCAAAATAAAGCCATTAATAAGCAGCTCGAAATATTCAATATTATCGATAATCCGAATCAACTAAACTGGAGAATAGAAGTCAAGTTCGAAAAGGATGAAGGCTCAAATTCTATGTTGATGCACGAAAAGGTACATATCATAGCAAGCCAAACTTTCTTAATAATTTTTGACTAAACTCAGTTTTTATCGGATAAAGAAATTAGTATTGGACATCATGACATCCTATTCGACCATAATACAATTACAATTTCCCGAAGCAACAGTTATCGATATCAATAAAATTTATAATTTCGGCTTAGCACGAACCTTTGTTTCATCGAATCTGGTTCCAACGACACGGAATTCCGTGTTTTCGAATTTACCACCTTCGTACGATGTCGCTTCTAAAGATTCGCCGCCTAAATATCATGAAATAAGTGAATGTGTCTAATTTGTTATATCGTTATTTAATTTAGTTTTACCAATCGTTTATGAGATCCTTGCAAAAAAAACGTTTCGGTTGCATTTAAAATTGAGCCAAAACGGGCCATTAAAAAATAAAAATTCAGTACAATCTAGTTAATTTGTTCAATTCGTTCAGTATTTACTAAGCCTATGTTCAGTAAATCTGTTTCACTGGAACAGTCCACGGATTATAATACATAATATTTAATGAATATAATAATAAAATGCATCCGAATATCAGAGTCGTCGAATAATAACAATAAGATACAAAGCCGATTTCTTTTCAAAACAATCTTAAGCCTGCAATTATAATACATACGAAGCACGATAAGGAAAATACAATTTATTCTCAAAGGAAAATGTTGTTTTCTTTCAATTTAAAAACCGGGCATAAAATAAAAGGTCAGTATTAATAAAAGATACATATTTGTACAGAAAAATTAGGACGATCATAAAAATTAGCAAATTATTTCTTTATATAAAACTTTTTAATTATACCAATGAAAATTTTTAAAATTTAAAATAAAAATATTTAATATTATATATTATCATATCAGATCTAATTACTAGCTACATAAAAAAGTTTAATAGTCTATTCTTTCTCTCTTTCTTAATCATCTTCAAAACATAATTTTTCATGCCTTTCACCAACTTAAGAAAGAAGTCTTTGCTTAAATCTGTCCATTCCTGAAAAATTATTGTTTAAATTCATTTTAAATTATCACATTTTCATTTTTTTCTTAGTTTCACTTGCAGATATTTTAATAAAATTTATTTATATTAATAAAAAAATTCTCAAAAACTTAAGCAATATTATCTGTCTGTTTAGTGAATTGAAAAACTTTTTGCTGAAAAATTAAATTTATATTAAGTCTTAGAAATTTTATATTAATTATATAATATAATATAATATTTTATATATTAGAATAAAATTATAGTAATATCTAATATAAAGATCTATTAAAATTATTTGTATATAAAAAAATATGATAAAATTATATATTATTTATAAATCTTTAAATAAAATTATTATAAAGAATTACTATACTTACAAAACTATATTAGAACTTATTATAATTATTATAAGTTTTTAATCTTACTTTTTAAATTCACAAATATATTTATTACTTTTATAATCTTAATAAATAATATAGTTTATAATTATTTAATTAAATTTATAATTATATATTTAAATAATATCTTGATATATAATAAGATAAAGAAAAAATATATTTAATATCTTTAAATTATATTTTAATATTTTGTATAAATATAAATTATATGCTAAATAAAAGAAAGATAATTTGATTTAATAATTTATAAAGAATCTTAGTTATTTGATATTAATGAATAAAATTTTAATTAATTAAAGAAAGATCATTATAATTAAAATTATTAGCATTTATTAATATTTAAAATTTTATTCTTTTCTAAAATTAGCAAATTATTATAAGAAATTTTTTAAAAAAGTTTTTATTATTATATTATTTTTATAATTATATTATATAAAAAATAAAATAAAATAGATAAAATAAATATAATAAGTTTTTTATCTTTTTAAATAATATCTTAATATTAATTTAGTTATTATCTAATTCTAAAATACTATTTATTATTATTAATATATCTAATTTTAAATTAGAATAGTATTAAATTTATAATCTTTTTATTATATATAAAAGTTTAATAATAAGTTTATATAAAAAATTAAGCTAAAGAGTAAACAGCTTAATTTAAGTTTTAACTTATTAATTATTTTATTAAATTAAATAATTATTAATAATTTAAAAAATAATTTAATATTATATAAATTATTAATATATTATTTACCTAAAATAATAAATTAAAAGTAATATTTTAAAAGATATTTATTATTAAATAAATATAAAAAATAAAGATTATAAATAATAATGATATTATAATTTTTAGTTAGCTATTACAATTATATATTTATTTATTACTAATTTTTTATTTAATATTAACTAGCTATAATTAAAATTTACTAATTACTATATATAATATTTATTAATTATTTTATTATTATTAGTTATAAAAATAAAATAATTAATTATTAGCAAATAAAAAAATTAATTATTAACAAATAAAAATATTATTATATTACTAGATTTTAAAAATAATAAATTTTATTATAATTATTAATTATATATTCTTAGTTAAAAATATTTAGATCTAAAGATAAAAGTATAAAACAGATAGATCATATTTATAAAAAAGATATAAATACAAAATG